GCATAAAATAAGCCCACAAAAAGAAAAGCTTCCCTCTCTTTCAGAATTTTTAAATCTTAAAAGAATTCATGTGTCACTTGAAACTTTCAATGGCTTGATTTCAAATTTCATGATTGTGACAAATTACTTTGGTATATTATTCTATAAGATATTTATTCTGGAACCAAGTTTTGAATGGATCTCTTTTTTCTTATCCAATTAGTTTGTTCTAAGTTAGATCTCTTATTTTTAAAAGACAATTTGCCCTAAGAGAAGATCGAGCTAGGGTTAGCAGGATCAGATATTCTACCATTTTCTAAATTCATCAATGTTAACTCATTGGTCTTACAAGTCCTTAAATTCAATCACTTTGATATTTTATTATATTCATACCTTATTTTTAAACAAAAAATAATAATTAAAAATTAAAAAAATGATAAATTTACTTTTTGTTTTTTGTTTTGTTTGTGTGTCTCTTCTTTTTCTGTCTTTTTTCCTTACTTGCTGTGTTGTTAACTTTTTAGGCCTTCTCTAATCCTCTCCATCCATCATCTGAATTTATACCTTTTTGTCACATCATCCCAAATGATATTTATATCATCCTAAATGATCGGCTCAACTCACTTTGAATTCCTGTCTAAACGTCTGTTATAACTTTTTCTACTTCTGATCGTCCTGGACGATACTTTATCGTCCTGGACAATCTGATCATCTTCTGCTTCAATCATCTATGATAATCCTGGATGATTCTCTTTCATTCTGAATGATGTTATTTACTTTTTGCTCAATTTAGGGAAAATCGGCCCATACGATCCACATGTTCGTCCTAGACAATACACATGGCAATACATTTTAATACTTTAAATTCGATCGGTACGATCAATTATAGGTGATCATCCTGAATGATATAATTGTTCGTCCTGAATAATACACGTGGAAATGTTCTAAATGTTTTTAAATTCAACCGGTACGATCTATTATTATGCATCATCCTGGACGATCCACCTAATCTGCTAGGATGATCTTCTTTTTCAATGGTCGTCCAGCTTGACTCCTCGGGATGATTGCTTGTGTCTTATCATCTCAAATGATATTTGATCATCCTGGATGATAGGACCACCTTTTTGACCAATCAGTATGGATGTAATTATTGTATCTGATCGGCCTGGACGATTCTACGATCGTCCTAGACGATCAGGCCGATTCTTTAAATTTCAAGGATTTCAATCATTTTTTCTCACACCCACTTCTTCTTTCAGCCTTATACTTCCTATTCTAATGTTGTTCTTGATCATGGCAAAAGGAAAGCATTCCCGCCATCCTTCTAGGAGTTCCTTGAGGGCTACTCTTGACCCTCGATTCACTGAGGTGGACGATCAAGCCGCCTACCAAAGAAACAAGATCGCCAGAATCACTGTCTCCCGGTCTGTTAACCCAAACATTCTCTCATATCTGGTACTTGATCTATTTGCTCACACCTCCTTGTATTTTCTTCTTACTCTTACTGTTCCTTTCAACTCCGAACTTCTATTTGAATTTTTTGCTAGCCTCCGAATAAATTTCTCTTTCAACTCTCTTAGCTCCTATGCGAATCGCCACCTTCTATATTTTGACCCATCATGAATTCAATGCCATTGACCTGATCTTTCGTTACATCGAGCATTTGACTACTATTCGAGATCCAGAACATAGGAGGAATCCCAATCTAGCCCTAGGACATATCATTGCATATGTTTTAGAATCAAAATTCAACCTCTAATATACTGCTCCAGCCAACTATCAGCCTGCCTTCTACTCAAACAATTCCTTTCATGTTCTTCACAGTACTCGTCTCCATCTGAGATATAGGGAAGGTCAGGGAGCAAAGGATGAGGAGGGCATATATTATTGCGCATGAGCATTAACATACTGAGGACATTATTTGCCTGCAGCATCAGCACGATCAGGATATAGCCTAATTTGGAGAGTAGTTCACCACTCTTTCGAGTTACTTTTAGCCACATCCACCTCCATCACCACCTCCTTTAGATGATTAGGTGCCATCATTCTTTTAGTTTTTTTTTTTTTTTGTAATTTGTTTCTATTTTTAGTCTCTGCTTTGTTTCTATTTTACTTTCCTCCACCTTTTTGTGATGTCAAAAGGGGGAGTAGTTTGTTGTACTGTTCGTTCTGTAGTTTGATTATATTATTGGATAGTTGATTTATTTCCATTAAACTGCCTTAAATCGCTTAGATTATTTTTTTGTTTGTCATCATCAAAAAGGTGGAGATGGTTGTAAATCTAATTTTATGGATTAAAATTTTGATGATAACTTCTGTCTCTCTATGACTGCCTTGCCTACTAACATTTCAGGTCCACAAGATCAAGACTGTAATTTAAACTAGCTCAAGATTGGATAGACTATGTTTGAGTCAGTTTGTAATTTTTTCCCTTTCTTAAGTCTATTGTAAACGATGTGGCTCCTGATGCTAAGTAATCTTGCACACACACACATGGGAGAAAATTTTTATCTGTTGGTTAGAGTTCTCTGTTTTTATCACATCGTCCTGAATAATCTGTTAAAAATAGAAACCCTAATTAGAACATCCTGGTTAAGGCGACCGTTATTAAGCACATCACACTGGATGATATTCATATTGGCCTGGACGATAGGCTCAAATTAGAAAGAATCAGCCGCCATATCTATTTAGGTATTCTTTATTTTTGGACATCATCTAAGACATCATCTAGGACATTGACTTGGACGATGCAGCACAATTATGCCTAAATTAATTTGGTAATTAAGGAAAGGAAGTAAGGTTTGATTACATGATCACATCATCTTGGACGATCACAGGATCGTCCGGGATGATCTCTTGGATGATTGACATCAACCAGCTTCTATTCAGGGCGATGCTCTAGACAAGTTTCACATATTTGAACTAATCGTCCGTAATGATCGTGAGATTGTCCTGGATGATCAAGCTATTTTTTCATCATCCAAACATTCTTTTAAAGTGATTGTATGGACGATATTCAAGGATTTGTACTGATTATACAGGATGATATTATATTGGCTTAGACAATATGAACAAAAATCATCTGATCGTCCCAAACTATTCGGGCTGATTAAGCGAAATTTACGCTGATCGTCCAGGATGATATGTATATCATCGTGGAAGATAAAGTCGGTTTGTATAAAATAAGAGCTATTTCAAAACTCTTCTATTTAAGAGCTCTTGTTCTACCCAAGAGCTCATCGTTTGTTGTTGTTCTAACCTGAGAGAGCCAAAAGGAGAGGGAGAACAAGGGAGAGATATAGATGATCTTATGAGGGGGAGTTTACGAGGGAGTTCACAAAGGTTGCTCCAAGCAAGGATCCATCGTCGTCTTCTCCAGTCGTTGTCCTTAGTTCCATGGGGGTTTTAGAGAGGTAAACTTCAACAACTTATTAAGGTTCTCTGCCTGCTTCAGGAGGAAGCAAAAGGAGTTGGGTTCTCTGCCTACTTCTGGAGGAAGCAAAAGGAGTTGGGTTCTCTGCCTCACCTGGGTTGGTGGAAAGGAGGTTTGTAAAGGCTTATCTGGCTTGATGTGGGGGCAAAATGTGAGACATTGAGTATAGTGCAATACTTGGAGAGCGCTTCCAGGGAGTGAACGTAAGTCGTGTTGCCGAACCACTATAAATTTCTGTGTTCTTTATTACTGCTTCCGCATTTACTTTCCACACTTTGATTTCTGTGGTGAATCTTGTTTTTTTTTTTTTAGATTGTGTTTTGATCGAAAGATTTTTTTAAATACCAATTCACCCCTCTCTTTGTTAGCCTTGGGACTTGTTCATAAGAGCTTAACATCCCTAACGAACTTTCACAAAGCAGGAGGTTAAAGATGAAATCCTAGCCCTTGATTTGGATTAGATCCCTTATAATCTCGTAGTTTGATTGGGATTAAATCATGATTGTTCAATCCTTATTGGATTGCCAAAAGAAATAGCATGTTTTCCCATTATCACACTAATGATTGGCTTGACAATCGAACCTCGTCGCAAGTAAAGGTGGTGCTAATTGTGTAAATCCTTTAAATAAATTAGAGAAAATTCTTTTTAACTTAGAAAATTCATAACTCCTCAATCACTTGGCCAATTGGGAGTTCTTAAACTTTATGGATTTAGACTGAGGAGCACTACAAAAGCTCTATGATTGTAATCCCTAATTTTAAATGGATTAAAGTAATTTTAGAAATACCCTCTAGAGTATTTTTGAAATTATTCATAAATTAAAATTCACCATGCCTTCAAACTTTCATGGATGGTTCTAAGGGATTCAAGGTATTTTGAAGCCTCTAAGGGCTTCAATTAGTTACCTTAAGTTCATAGGTCAAAAAATGACCTAGAACATAGAATTGGTCTACATGTGAGTCCAGGAGGAGTTAGGACTTGTGATTTGATGGATTATTTATGTTTTTTATAAGGGTTAGAATGTTAGTGATTGCAACCCAATTCATTGAATAGATTGTCCAAATTTAATCCCCAAATGTATAGCTGCATTTACTTTGGGGATTGATTATGAAGCCTAGTGGAACTTTGATGGCTTCCATTTTTGGGGTTTGAAGCACATGTAGAACTCAATTTTGGGGCCAATATGTCACATTTTCACACATTTGCTAATGCCATTAGATTTATCTCATAGTGATGGAACTTTAGGCAATGTACTTGCATAAACTTGAAGTAGTTTGAATTCTATATTATTTTTTTAAGTGTATAATTGATTGTTAGTTCAATATACATTGAGTATATTGAAATTCATATCTTATAAATAATTTGTGCTTGATCAAATAGAGATTTTTATGTGCTGAATCAAATAGAGATTTTTATGATCCAATAAATTTAAATTTTCAAAATAAGTTATTTCTAAGAAATAAATTAAAATTAATTTTAAAACTAAAGATATTAAATTATATAATTCACAATTCCTTTCCATTTTTAATTTGTAATCAAGAACAATTGTGACTCAGTGTAACTCTATCCCAAAAGTTTGCCGGTTCCTTCCATACCGTTGGCTCTCTCTTCCTCCTCATCTCTCTCCCAACCTAACTGCGTGCCGTGGCTGGAGCTCTCATGGCCGCCACTGCCTCCAACATCGGTGCCATGGGCGCTTCTTTTCCTCCGCTGCGACGGCCACTTCTAAATTTTCCCTCTCCACATAGAAGACTATCCAGTCCGCTTCTTTGCTGCGTCGGCCCGTCTTCTCAAGTCGGCGCACTCCGTTCTCAAGGTCTCTTTTTAACTCCTGATCGATATATTTTTTGTTCTTACGGAACTGCTGGTTTTCATTTACAAGTGCTTGGTTTATACACTTTTTTGGCAATGGTACAATACATGAAATTATTCTTTAATTTTGATGAATTTTGCAGTATAAATGGTGGAATTGAGCTCTGTTGAACACAAATAAAACTAAGCTCTAATGTCGTTCACTATCACATTGATCTATACTGTCTGCAATGAGGAATTGGTTAAATGTTGAGATTTTGTTTTTTTGACTTGTGTTCTCTTATATTTGTTGTTCTTTCTCTGGATGCTAATATCACCAGTCAGCGAAACTTTTCTATCTTTGTGCCCAAACTAACACACCTGACATGGCCGCTTCCCTTAGTTGATTTTGTAATCAAAATCAATGTTTAAAATTGCACAATTGGGTATTGAGGCGTTTTTTGTTCATGAGGCGAGGCGTAAGCCTCAAGGCTTTTTGAGTCGTAAGCCTCAAAATAAAAAATTGCGTAAAGTGATAATAAATGTCAAAAGTGATTTTTTATATAATACTTAAATAATATGTTAAATGATGACATATTAACTTCTTATTGAATTATAAATTAACAAATTTGCATACATATGAAACAAAAAATTGCACAAGATATAAAGTGATAAGTGATAAATTGTGTGAAATAAAATTAGAATTCAAATATTATAAGAGAAAACAACACTAAATATAAAAATTGCGTAAAAGTATCATATAATATCAAGTTCAACTCCAAATTTCATCTTTCTCAATTCTTTACTCATTTACATTTAATTCCTAATGAAAGTTGAAATAGTTGACAACAATTTAGGAATCATCTGCATTGTCATCACTGAGGTGGTCAGTATTTGAGTTATCGTTATAACAAATTAGTCTATCTCATACCTCATTTGGTAGAGTCGAATGCCTCTAAATATGCTTCTTTTTAATTCATTCCAATCATGTTCATCTTTTAGAAATATTTTCATGAACTTAAATATGAGAGTAATGATCCAAAATTTTTAGGGTCATGATGTGCAGCTTTCAAGTGATTATCAGTGCTACTACGGTGATGGTTGAGGCGAAGACCGTGGGCTGAAGGTAGAGGCAATCGAGATAAAGTTGTTGCGCTTGAATGTGCATAAAGGCATGATTTATATTAGTTTTAATAAAAAATAAATACAAATAGGGTGAGACGTAAGCCTCACGCTAGCAAGGCGAAGCGTGCCTCAAGGGGGCCCTCAGCTAAGCTGCAAGCATCATAAAAAAGCTAGAGGCGTAAGCCTCAAGACGTTTTTCACTAGAATTATGCTGAGGCAAGCCTCAAGGAGATATTGTGCAATTTTAAACAATGATCAAAATAAGTAGGATTCATGTAGGATAAATATTTGATGATGTTGTTATTGTTGTAATGAATGGTTGGTTGTTAAATTTGGACCCTGAGAACTGAACTGAATTAAATTATGCGCATATAGTTTGATTCTAATCAAGGTTTAAAATTGTGGAATTCGGTATTAAGGTGTTTTTTGTTCGTGAGGTGAGGTGTAAGTTTCAAGGCATTTTGATGCAATAGCCTCAAAATCAAAAATTTGTATAAAGTGAATATAAATGTTAAAAGAGATTGTTTATATAATACACAATAATATGTTAAAAAATGACATATTAACTTTCTAGTAAACTATGAACTAATAAATTGGCATATATATGAAACAAAAAATTGCACATTGTGTAAAGTGGTAAGTGGTAAATTGTATGAAATAGAATTAAAATTTAAATATTACAAGAGCAAAACAACATAAAATATTAGAATTGCATGAAAATATCACATAGCATCAACTTTAACTCAAAATTCTTTTTTTCCTCGTTCCCTACTCATACACATTAATTCTTTAAAAATTTGAAATAGTTGACAACAACTCAAAAATCTTATGCACTGTCATCACTAAGGGGGTCTTTATTTGAGTCGCCACATAATAAATTGATCTCTCCCCTCCCTCATCTTGTGGAGTTTACTGTCTCACAATCTGCTTCTTTTTTTATTTATTTCAATCATCTTCCAATTTCATTAATGTTTGTTATCAAGATAAAGATGAGAGTAAAATTCTAAAATTTTTAGAAGAGGAGGTGGTGATGGTGTGTGCCTTACAAGTGATCCTCGGTGGAGGCTACGACAGTAGCGGCTACGCCGAAGGCCACAGGCAGTTGAGACAGTTGAGAGGAAGTTGTTGTTGCTCAGGGTGCCTGAATGCTTGATTTGTTTGAGGCTTTTGTGATTTAGGTTTTCTTAAATTAATTTATGTGTGTGTGTGTGTAGGGTTAGTCATACGCCTCATAGTAGCAAGGTGAGGCGCTCCTCAATAAAACTGAGGTGCAATTCTCATAAAAAAATTTTGAGGCAAAGTCTCAAGGTATTTTTCATCGGAATCGCACTAAGGAGAGCCTCATATTGGATAATTTTAAACAAAGGTTCTAATATAACTCAGGTTGGGCACAATTCCAAAGATGGTGGAACCGAACATAGTTGATTTGGCATCCATTTCAAATTAAATAGAATTAAGTTATAGCAACCATCTACATCAATAAAAATAATAATATTTTGCAAAAAATTTCAGCTTCATTTGCTCATCTTCTGCATTAACACAAAATTATTCATAATAATCTACAACTATTGTTCATTTCATTGTCATTTGCCCATTTCACCTTTCAAAAACTTAAGCTTATAAATCAGATTTGATTCAGTTCCCTATTACCGGACAATTAGAACCAAGAGCCAACCCATTAGCTTTTTTTAGCATTTTAATAACGAAAATTGAACTCTCTGTACTTGAACCAAAACAAATTGATCCGTTTGGTTCTGTTTGGTGATTACATTTTTTTCAATTGCTATGCATGTTCTGTTCCCAATCCATGTTCAATATTTTGATGTAGGTTTCAGACGCATTTCATTCGGTTATTCAGTTTTTCTTTTTTTTTTTTTGGATGTTCTTGCACTCCCTTATTCTCAACATAAACATCAGAAACTTAAAAAAATAATAATAAAAAATAAAAATAAAAATAAAAAACATCATAAACTTGATTAATAATATAAATCTTTGAGAAATTTTTTATTTGAATCCCTACAGATATAGTTTCCTTTCTTTGTCGTATCAGTTATCGCTTTTGTTCTGCTCTGACTAATCTTTTTCAGTTCTTAGGAGGAATGTGCTGTCTTCTCTCTTCACAGCTACAATCTTCCCACAACTTGGTTTGAGCGGGGTCAGCATAGCTGAACCGGCAAATGAATTTAAAGAATACATAGATATATTTGATGGTTACTCGCTATTCTATCCCAAAAATTGGATCCAAGTTCGAGGTGCTGGTGCTGATATATTCTTCAGGGACCCTTTTGTTCTTGATGAGAACTTATCAATAGAATTGTCTTCGCCTTCATCATCTAGATATATGAGTGTTGAAGATTTAGGACCTCCAGAATCAGCGGCAGAGAAAGTCATGAAGCAATATTTGACGGAATTCATGTCTACCAGATTAGGCGTTCGTCGTGAATCAAGTATTTTGTCTACATCCTCAAGGGTTGCTGATGATGGGAAGCTCTACTATCAGATTGAGGTAAGAGCTTTGATGTCCATATGCTGCCAGTTTTTCTAATATTACTACAAAAGTTATTTCTTTATTTATGTTCCTTCCCTGTAGAGTCAATTAGCATATAGTTAAACTAAATGCTTCCTCCCAATACATGCTTGATTGAAAAATGGTTTTGGTATCTATAGTGTAAGTTGGTAGAGCACTTTAAAGCACTTAAACTGACTTTACAACAACAATAACAATAACATCAAGCCTTTATACCACTACATGGGGTCGGCAAATATGATACATAGGCAAGGATACCACTTGTTTCTCTTTGGGTGCTAGAAGTTGTTTTTTTGCCATTTTGAGTTATTGAAGTATATCATTTGGTTGCTTGATCTACTTCTTGCATGAAAGTAATCCAGAAAAGAAAAGACTTCCTTCATCGTACTTGCCCCAATAAATCACTCAATGTTGAAATACACTCTTCTAAGTTTATTGGGAGGTATCTGTATGAAGAGCTATCTCAAAAGCATAAATTAATGAAAAACTGAATTTGTAGGGAATGAGAGAAAATGGAGTAGAGAATGCAATATAGAGAAAGATTGCTCTGTTCTAGAGGTTAGGAACGATTAGATTTGATCCATGCAGGCTTTCTAAATCTAAGTCCGGGTGGCACACATCTTGAGGTCAGTGGGATGAATTAAAGCCTCACACTACACTTACTCCTGTGTGAATCGAGCTTATTTCTGAAAAACTCTGGTCTTGATCTTGAATAGGCTCATCATGAGCTTAAATAAACCAAGCGGTTCAGTGTAGCTGTTTTGGAGCTCGATTGAGTCCTCCACTATCTAGACTCTTAAGAAGTGTTGACCTCTGAAGCATAAGAAACAACAACAACAACAACAACAACAACAACATCAAGCCTTTATCCCACTACGTGGGGTTGGCTACATGAATCCTTTTTCTCCATTGTGTTTTATTAAAAGTCAAATTCTCGTTTAAATCTAATAAAGAAAGGTCATTCCTAATATTTTCTAACTAATTCTTTTTAGGTCTACCCCTACCTTTCTTAACATAAGTCAAATCTAATACCTCTACTCTCCTAACCGGGTCATCGGAAAGCCATCGTTTTATGTGACCAAACCATCTAAGGCGACTCTCTCTCTAATCTTATCTTCTACTGAAGCTACTCCAACCTTTTCACGTATATGCTCATTTCGTATCCTATCTCTAAGGGTAAAGCCACTCATCCACCTGAGCATCCTCATCTCTACCACACTTAACTTAGTATTATGCTTCTCTTTTAATGGCCAACATTCGGCACCATAAAGCATTGCAGGCCTCACTACCATCTTATAAAATTTTCCCTTAAGTTTGAGGGGTACATTTCTATCACATAACAAGCCCGATGCATTCCGCCACTTCAACCATCCAACTTGAATTCGGCTGATAATATCCCCATCTATTTCACCATCACTCTGAACAATAAATCCAAGATATCTAAAACATGTACTCTTATTAATGACTTGATCGCCCAAAGTCACAAACCCCTCACTAGGTCTATTACTACTAAAATTACACTCCATATATTCCGTTTTAGATCTACTCAAGCGAAAACCTTTAGACTCTAAGGTTGACCTCCATAATTCAAGTTTACCTTCAACTCCCTCTCTAGTCTTATCAACAAGAAGAATATCATCAGCAAAAAGCATACACCAAGGTACATCCTCTTGCAAATGTCTAGTGAGAACATCCAAGACTAAAGCAAAAAGATATGGGCTTAAGGCTGATCCTTGATGTAACCCAACCGAAATAGGAAAATACTTGGTCAATCCACCTTGTGTTTGAACACAAGTAATAGCTCCTGCATACATATCTTTAATGATTTGAATATAAGCATTATTGACTCCTTTCTTATCAAGAACTCTCCATAGCACTTCTCTTGGAACTTTATCATATGCTTTTTCTAAATCAATAAATATCATATGTAGATCATCCTTATTTTCTCTATATTTCTCCATCAAACCTCTTAATAAATGTATGGCTTCCATAATC